CTTGGCTCGATTCGACTTGATTAACTATACTATTAAAATAAAATTACATTAAATTACAATACAAATGCGATTATGCTCATGAGCTCGACTCGATTTGGTTCTATAACATGTAAATATGAATAAACAAAAGGGTAAATGTGTAAATATAACAATTTCGATTAAGTTCGCGAGCTTCACGAGCCGAGTACTCCAATAGGACCAATACTCAAGCTCAACTCAATAATATACTCGAGTAGCTGAGCTCGAGCTCAATTTGACTAGAGCCGAGTTAATTTCGAGTATTTTTCGGGTATCTCACGAGTTGGTTCGACTCAGTTACACCCCTATGTACCCTTTGAGATGTTCATAAACTTCAAACTATACCATGAAAAATTCAAAATTACATTATGCAGTGAGTACGTATTATTAAAGTGTTTTTTGCAGTTTCATTAACATAAATGCTTAAATTTAACATACCGATTGTTGTTTTTTAATTGTTTATCTTCATTTATGGCTTAGGAAATAGTAATCCTTATAAATAAAAATGTCAAAATACCTGAACCAGATGAAAAACAAAAAGCGAAACTTTTGGGCTTGTAAATGGTTATGAGATCGGATATTGGATATTTTCTAAATTTTTTTGCTAGTTTGGGAAGGTTATAACATTAGTGTTAAATCTGTCCGATCACCTGATCTCATTTCTGATCTTAACCTGGGCGAATTTTCCCGATTATTAATATATATGATTTCAAAATTATATTAAAATATTATTTGTGAAATTATAAATAGAAAGTTTGTTATTTAATCTCTACTTTCTGTGAATGAAAATTATTGATATTTAGTTTAATATTTATGTTTGATATTTGTTACTTTATCATGAAATTCATATGTTATAAATTTTTTATGGCGAAATTATATTTATGCAACATTTGTTAAGATTAAACCTGATGATGTTAGTAGAAATTGAAATTATTAGAAAATGAAATCATTTTTTGGATTTCATATGATTATGATTAGGTTTTAGATAATTACAATTCCAACGGGTAAATATTGACATACTAATATGATAAATGGTATACCCAATAACTTCAATATACGTGTAAACCCGATAAGTTACTAACCAATAGTACAAGACCAAGTTGGGATACAATTCTATAATCGAGTATGAGGGTGAGATCATCACTGTTTGTCCCATTGCATCTCTACTTAGATCATCTTAATTCAATGGATTGACACATGTACATTCCACTCACTATACAACTTTACCCATTAAACTCTACACTTCATTAAACTCTATACAATTTTAATAGATTGCCACATCATTTTTTATTCTCTTTTTATTTTTTTTTAAATTAATTAGCATGAAATTAAAAATTAAAAACTACAAATAAAATTAACATTAATTAAAAATTTAAAATAAAAGATATATATATATATATATATATATATATATATATATGTGTGTGTGTGTGTGTGTGTGTGTGTGTGAGGAGAGAGAGTATAGAGTTCAATGGGGATTGAACTCATCATTCTATTGAATCCTAGTCATTTTCCCATAATGGAGATTTTGAGTTTAACGAGATTAAACTCCCTATTAAACCCTCCATTAAACTCCCATTGGAGATGACCTTATTATAAGTAGAGATTCTGTCGGTATGTGGAGAAACATATCTTTTACTAACTATTAATATAGTTAAAAAACTGCAAACCTCACCGAACAGTACAATTTTGCTAAAGTACCAACCACATAACGTACCACAAAAGATTCAAACTGAATTATTCTTTTTTTTTTGAACGGCGAGCAATATATTAGCAAATAAAACAAACAACAAATCCAAGCGAGAAGCTCGAGCAATTACAAAAAACAGTCTAAGATAGGGGAGGCGTTCCAAACATGCCAGACAATAGAATTACATTTAGACCTACATTTAATCCAATTGAAAGTATCCATATTAATATCACTGCTATCAACATAGTCGCTTGCCTTACGTTCCTGAAAACAGTAGCATTTCCCGCCTTCCATATCAAACTGAATTATTCGACGCGGTGCATTATAGGGTGCGGTTGCAGACGGTTTGATAAGCACCCTAAGAGAAATATCTTGGTCAATGTAACAAGTAACATGTCTTTTACTTATTATTAGTATATGTGGAGAACGGAACTAATTTTTTTTTCTTGTGTGGATGAAGGTGATGTATGAGACTATGAAAGCCAAAATTGAGAAGGCCGTGGATAGCGGAACCGTTAGTCCCGATCTAATCACTGATGAACGTTGGTTGAAAGCTCTTGATAGATGGACACCTACATTCACACCACAAAATCATCCTGCAGTCGTTGAGGTTTTAATTTCTTGACCCTATACATAAATCAAGATACAATATAAACAAAATTTTGATTTCAATATATATGATAATAAAAGCAAGACGTATTGGTTCAAACAATTTTCTTTCTCAAAAACAGGTTTTATTAGAAAGCAATGAAGACAAAGACATTACGGGCCATCCTTTGCCAAATCTTATCTATGTTTCACGAGAGAAAAATAAGTCCGTGCATCATAATTTTAAGGGTGGAGCCCTAAACAGTATAGTACGTTTTCACTCATCTCCTACACTTTTTCTTTAATTAATGTCGATCATTATTTTAACATGTACATTTTTTTAGATTCGTGTGTCGGCGACATTAACAGATGCACCAATCTTCTTAGTCCTAGATTGTGACATGTACTCAAACAACCCAAAAACGGCACTTTATACTTTATGTCATTTCTTGGATCCTAAAGTTGACCCAAATCTTGCTCTCGTTCAATTTCCTCAATGCTTCCATGACATTAACAAGGTCGACACTTATGGTGCTGAACATTTGCCTGAGATACGAACGATTCCTATGGGAATGGATGGTATTTGTGGGACAATGTTTATAGGGAGTGGTGGCTTCTTCAAACGACAAGCCCTACTCGGAAGTCCAGCTTCTATCGGTCCTTCTGACATCAAACAAGCAAAAACACATCGTCTTGGAAATAAATCGATGAAATCTGACGATATATTAGCAGTAGCACACCGTGTTGCAGGTTGTCAGTATGAGGAAAATACCAAATGGGGTTTAGAGGTACGATTTATAAAGTGGTTTCCTTTGATTTCGTTCTTTAATTTATGGATTCTCATAGCAAGTCCGTGACTTTTGCTGTTTTGCAGATGGGATTTAGGTATGGTTCATTGGTGGAAGACATTTATACGAGCTTCAGACTGCAATGTCAAGGATGGACGTCTGTTTTCTGTGACCCAGAAAGACCATCGTTCCTCGGGAACTCCCCAATGGCGCTTAGTGATCTCCTACTCCAATCAAAAAGATGGTTCGTAGGATTTCTCGAAATGGTAACGTCTAAACACAATCCGATAACATATGGGTTTAAGTATATGAATCCTATTCATGCCTTATGTTATGCACACTACAACTTTCGACCTTTTTGGGCTATTCCAATCGTCATCTATGCGTTCTTACCCCAACTAGCTCTTATAAACTCTTACTCAATATTCCCAAAGGTATGTGAACTTATTCATTGTTTCAATTAATAAAGATTTTGTTAATTAACAAGTCAAATAAATTAGGGAAATTTGGTGATATATTTTCAGGTTTCAGACACTTGGTTTCCATTATATGCGTTTCTTTTCTTTGGAGCATATGCAAAAAGTCTTTTTGAATTTTTGGTGGCCGGAGGAACGCTTGTAAAATGGTGGAATAGTACACGAATGTGGTTGGCTTTGGGATGTTCGAGTTACCCTTTTTCAATGGTCGATTGGGTGCTCAAATCTCTTGGTTTGTCAACGATAGAGTTCAATGTTACAAGCAAGGTTTTGGATGATGAACTAAAGAAGCGTTATGAGGCAGGTCTGTTTGAATTTGGGGTAGAATCACCATTATTCTTGACGATATCTATAGCAGCAGTTGTCAACTTGTTAGCTTTCTTGATGGGTACAATACAAGTTTTTAAGAACGGTGGATTTGAAGAATTATTTGCACAATTATTCATAGCTGGGTTTGGAGTGATAAATAGTTGGCCAATATATGAAGCCATGTTGTTGAGGAGTGACAAAGGGAAGATGCCCATGATGACTACGTTGAAAGCACTCGGTGTTGCTTCGGTTGTTTATTCCGTCTCCTCTTTGGCATTTTGACCAAAACTTTTTGCGCATTTTATTGTTAGCTCTATAGAGTGGGTATCCTATGCATGTCATTCTCAAGCTGATGAACTTTAAGTGGAAATTAATGAGATATGAATGCATATAATATTGAGAACGTAACGAATTTCACGCCATAATTGTATTTTTTTTCCTTATTTTAGATTTGGTAAACTACATAATAGAATTCGGTATTAGTTTGTGAGTTGAATTTCAGTGGATCCAACGAGTTAACTACATATAGTAGTTCAATAGTCAAAATAAAATTTTGAAACCTTATATCCTTACCGTTTATGTATACTTCATCCTACAAATTCATACAATGCATTGATGGATTGTCATATTAGTATTCTACTTTTAATATAAGTTTACCATTTCCTGCTAGATTTGAATTATTAGGAATGCACCACAACATGCAACATCTGGTAGTTGTGGACTTTATGCAAGTAGCTCCAGGTTTGGCATCATACAAGGATCAATAGTGGCCGAAATTTATCATAAAAATTGAAAAATGTTACTCCATAATCTATTTAGTAAAATAAATACAAACTATATCCTCTTATGTAGTGGGCAGTAAACTAAATTAACTCATTTATAAATAATTTAGTTCCATGATTTAGCTAAATATGTTGCTATTATCGATAAAATTGTTAATATGTTGCTATTATCGATAAAATTGTAAATATGTTGCTATTATCGATAAAAATTATAAGTACATTGCCTATATTAGTAAAAAAGTTAAATACGTTGCTATTATGAATTAAAAATAAAGTATGTTGCTATAATGGATAAAAATATAAATATATTGTTATAATCCACACATTACAGTGCTTTAACTTATAATAAGCTAGATTATCAATAAACTATCTCAAATAATTTACAATCGGATAAAAGGTGGATCCATATTTTATTATAGCTACTGGATTCAAATGTGATCAGCCACTGCATCCAATTTTTATTACATCAAATGGAATTAGTACTATTACATGTAGAGATTATTGTCTGGTAACCTCTGAGAAGGAATAGCTAGGAGTGGTTTTGGTTTCTTCGGGACAAGCTTATCAGATTCTTTCACATCAGGCAACGTCCAATTGAAGGAGTGCAACAATGAAGCCAAAAGGTACATCAACATCTTCTCAGACAAGGGAACCCCGGGACACCTTCTTCTGCCAGCACCAAAAGCGAGAAAATTGGTATTCAATCCGTTATAATCAAATTTGGCATTTCCATCGGGGTTTAGAAATCTGTTAGGATTGAATTCTAAAGGTTTATCCCAATATTTAGGATCTCTATGTATTGCCCAAACATTCAAAAACACGTTAGAACCCTTTGGGACTATGTATTTGTCAATCTTGCAAGATTTATTCGGAGATCGCGTTACCAAGAGTGGTAGTGTTGGGTTTAAACGGAATGTTTCCTTAATGGTTGCATCTAGGTAACGTAAGTTTGGAAGATGAAATTCTTCGACAATGTTGTTTAGGCCTACCACTTGTTCTAATTCGTCTTGTATCTTTTTCATTACATCTGGTTTTTTCAAAAGCTCCCTCATTGTACTTTCTGTCACTGTTGTTGTCGTGTGTGTTCCTGCCACAAAAAAGTCCTGTTTCAGTAAACAAAAAAGTTCTGCTTTAGTCCTTGTAGTTTTCTTTATTTTTTTTCTTTATTGAATAATTAAAATTTTAGAATAATTTATATAGGGTTTAGTTGGCTTCTATTTTGTTAGTTAGTAGACTTTCAGGTGTTTGGCAAAGCTTAAAAATGGAGCTTTTTGACTTATTACCGGTTCCACACCGGAATAAGATAAAAAGAGTGTTTGGATAAAAATAGCTTATACCGGTACGATACCGGTAATAAGTCAAAAATCAATAAGTAAAAGGCCCCTAACTTATCAACCTATAAGTCATAAGTTGAAAAATACTTATGATTTTTCATAATCTTTGCCAAACAACCTCTTTGTTCCCCTTTTAATAATGGAGTAGGTAACTAAGTAGATATACGTGTGTGTGTGTATATATAAAATGAAAAAACAAGAGGTTTGAAAGATGTAGCCCATGTGTTGTAGCATAAACGTGCCCCATCCCATCTTTAGTTGTTATTCTTCTTTCAGTAGTGGTTTGTTCACAGTGGCAGGTTTCAACATGATATATATAAAACAAACAAACAAACATAAATAAGATAAAGATACCATGAAAAGAGCTTTTATCTGCGTATCACTGAATGATGATTCAGTATTTTCTTGTTTAAGCTCAAGGAAAACCTGTAATAAATCCTTTCTTCCCTGTTGCTCTACTGATTCTTTGGTTTTAAGGCTGATCACTCTATCATCGATAATCTTCTGGAAGATCCCATCGAGCTTCTGAGCTTCTTTCTTCATTTTTCGCTCCACCCCCTGTAAATCGAATCTCGCCAGCACCGGAAAATAGTCCGACACGTTGTTGGTTCCCAAAACCATCATTGCACTTGTAATCACTTCCCGGAACCCAACCATAAGAGTATTGCTTGCTTCATCTTCATCGAAACTTTTCCCCCATATTATGCTGGTTATGACCCTCAACAACGTAGAGAACGCAGTCTCACCAATATCCACCTCCGTGCCCATTGTTTCATACACATTCTTGACAGTTTTTCTCACTCCACCTCGCCGGAAAGAGAGTGAAGCTTCCAGGTTCTTGTGGCTCATCACTTCGTACATCAACACCTTACGCATGTTACGCAAGTAGGTGTTGTTGTCAGACCAGGTTATATCTTTGCCACCATATGTGAGAGCTATGCCAGCCACCGGAGGGTCTCGGTTAGCAAAAGTATCGTCTTGATCACGGAGCACAACTTTAGCCAGGTCTGAGGAGCTGATGACGACGTAGGTCTTACTTCCGAGCTGGAGTTTGAAAATCGGGCCAAAACGTTGACCCATTTTTGTGAATTCATCGAGCAAGTTGGCGCCAAGAAACGGAAGGTAACCCAGCACCGGCAAACCACGAGGTCCGGGAGGCAACCTTGACCTTGACTTCCAGGATATGTACAGAAAAATAGCGAATGAAATGGCTGATAAAGTGAATACTGGGAAAGTGAGCTCGACTTTCTTGCCGGTAACTTCGAATTCCGACCACCATGACCACTGGCTATCTACTATCATTTTGTTAAGCGACCGAAGTGAATCACTATATCTATTGAAAGAACACATATGAAATTCACATCCAATTCTTATAATGTACTTCAACTTTTTAGCGACCTTTAGGAAAGAAAAATAATTAAAGGAAACAAAAAGGAAAAGTGGAATAGGTGGTAAATTATGGTCCAACTTGATACACGTTTAAAATAGTGTAATTTTTAATTTGAGTACCTTCTCATAAAAAAGATTATTTATTTTCGAGATGATTTTTATGGACCCCTTCAATTATTGATGCATCCTTAGGCTATTCGGTATGGGCACCGGTTACCACGGTGTCATGATAGCTTATTTTATTTCCTTATTTTATTAGTTTATTTTAAGATCTTTTTATCATTATTGCATTGTATTTTATTTATTTTTTCTTTAGTATGGATCGTACCGGGTGCTTTTTATGTTGCATGAGATATTTTGTAGGTTTTCGGTGCTTGTTGCGGTTGCGGGTTGATTGGAGACGAGCTGAGTGGGCTCCCGAAGCATTATTGGGCTTGGCGGAATCAAAGAAGAATAATTGGGCTTTGAAAGTTATTGGCTCAGATTATTTGGGCTTGTGAAGATGGATCATAAATTTCTAATTTTGGGCTTGGAGCATCCATTTGGTGGCTAAATGATGATTGGTGGATTCAAATTACATGGACAAGGGGGGGACCAAAGGAATCTTTGGTAGTGGAAGGGTGGTGTGGTGGAATGGTGGACCAATGGCATTCCAGCAGCATTTGCGCGGGTGGAATTTTGGCTGCGCGGGTACCCGCGCAACTACCCAGTTTGGGCATTTTGGTCATTTGGCTTGCCATTACCTTGGGGAATCAGATCTAGAGGCTCATTCACGAATTTTCCACCATTGGAGACCTGCAAGTGACGATTTGGAGAGCAAAATACTCAATTTCTTTCATCTTTTCAAGTCTTAGGTAGATTCTTGATGCAAATTAATTATTGTTCTTGTTACTTTGTTGCCATGAGTGGCTAATACTCTTATTTGGTTGACTTTGGCTGAAAACCAATGAATGTTTGTGGGTTTTGAAGGATTTATGTTGATTATCAATTTATTTCATGTTTATGATTCTAGTTTACAATTCTTATGCTTATTTGATGCTTTGATCATGAGCTTAGTATTTGATTGAGCAATGGTTGATTTGTTTCATTGATTTTACATTGGATCATTGAATTTATCTAGAACAAAGGTTTTATGATGGTAGAAATCATCTCTAGCTTATGAATCATAGCTCCTTTATGGATGTGTAAGCATTTGACATCCTCTAGGAATTGGGGATTCCTTCATTCTTAAGGCTAATTGATTTCTTGGGATTAACTGCTTCAATTGACCCTTGATCTTAATTAAGAAGGTGTGTTGTGGGCTTCCCCAACCTCCATACTACCTATGAGGAATCTTGGCATATCATGCTTCATGATTGCTATAACCAATTTGGGATGAAGGATAAGCTTTGTATTAGATCCTAATGATAAACACACAAATGTTCATTGTGTTGAATTGCCTTAGTTAACCAATTATTCCCAACCTTTGAGCATCTCATCAACTTGCTTAATTGCAAGGTTTTTAGTTATTCAAGTATTTTAGTTTTCAAGTAATCAAACACCCCCCCCCCTTTTAGTTTAATTGTAGTTAGTTAGTTTAATTTCACTAGTTCTATTGAATTGCATTGGTGATTGAATACAACCATTTCCCCGAGGATCGATACCCCTTTTTACCATTATATTACGTTTATTTAGCAATCAAAGGGTGTAATTTGCTTGGTGGACTTGACATCCCACCAAGTTTTGGCGCCGTTGCCGGGGAAATTGGTTATTGTTATTTGATTGTTTATGCCTAGGTCTACAAGAACCGGTGAACTACTCTACAATCCGGAAATTGAAAAAGAAGCAAAAAGGTTGAAAAAGTTAGCCAAACAAGCAAAGCAACAACAACTAGTTCAAGCTTCTTCCTCTTCTCCACTAATCAACATAGAAGATCAAGTTCACACTTCAAGTAATACCGACACCGAGCCGAGTTCTCCAATTGTTGGTCAATCCTTTGAAGACATTCCGTTTGAAAACCACATAGCCATGAATCACACTCCACCTCACAATCCTAACCCAAACCCAAACAATCAAGATGCTAATACCCCACCCCATCAACCAAGACAACAACAACAAGAACCTCTCATTGATATGCCACCTTGGAATCAAGCCCCTCTTCAAAACCAACCCAATTATCCGCAACCACAAAACCAACAATTCCATCATAACAACCAACCTCAAAACAATGCTTTTCAAGTTCAACAAGTACATTAACCAAATCAACCCAATTACCAACACCCTCCAATATACCAAAACCCAATGTACCCCTAACAACAACCTCCCTACAACCAATACCCTAACTACCAACCTTATCCACCACCAATCTACAATCATCAACCATACCCATATCCACCTTACCAACAACCACCCAATTACTTGCAACAATATCCCAATAACCCCAATCCACCCAATCCCCCTCAAGAGTTGACACTTCGACAAATGATGGAGACGGATGTTACTCATACACCTCTTGCTATTGTTTATCCCGCAAACCGCCGAGGAATTGAATTGAAGTCAAGTTTCATCCATCAACTAACCAAGTTCCATGGTTTGGATAGAGAAGATCCTCAAAAGCATTTGAAGTCCTTTCATATGATATGTGTTAGCATGTTGCCCGACAATGTGACATTGGATGATTTCAAGTTAACCGCATTCCCGCTCACCTTGGAAGACAAAGCTAGAGAGTAGTTATTCAACTTACCACCGGGATCAATTCACACATGGGAAGAGTTACTCAAGGCCTTCAATAGCAAATTCTATCCCACCTCCCGCATTTCAAGTCAAAGAAGTGACATTTTGGGGATTCGTCAAGGGGAAAATGAAATATTTCATGATTTTTGGGAGCGCTTCAACAATTTGTGTACAAGTTGTCCTCAACACAATATACCCGAACAACTACTTCTTCAACAATTTTATGAGGGTATGAATGAAAAAGATCGGAGGATGATTGATGCTTCAAGTGGTGGTGACATCTTCAACAAAACCCCTCACGAGATCCGATTACTTTTTGGTACCATTTCTCAAAATCAAAGGAATTTTGGGACTCGACATGACATGAAGAGAAATTCTACACAAGTGGTTGGTGAAGTTAGCAACACTCAACACTTGGAATCAAAGCTCTTGGATTTGACTAATGTGTTAAGTCAAATGGTGGTGGGAAGTGGTCAACAATTGATGGTATGCGGTATTTGTGCAATGACAGGCCATTATACGGATAAGTGTCCCACACTTGGAAGTGAACCGGAAGATGTGAATGCAATGGGAGGATATCAAAGTCAACCAAAAACCCATGGGATTTCAAAACAATTTCAACCCAAATTTGAGGAATAACCAAAACAACCCTTATCCACCAAAGCAAAATCCACCAAATCTTTTGATGAGACCCCAACATCCACAATACCAATCCCAAAAACCTCCATATCCACAAAATTCTTATAACCCTCCAAATTACCAACAACATCCACAACAAGGCCAATCAAGTGGTACCCATCAAATGAGCCTTCAAGAACTTGTCACTTCTCTTGCTCAAAGCCAAACCCAATTTCAACAAGAAACCAAGAATACTTTCTCCAACATTCAAGCACAAATTGGAGACTTGGCAACCGCTCTCAACAAGATGGAACAAAAGGGTAAACTTCCATCACAAACCGAGAAGAACCCCAATGTGAGTGCCATCACCTTGCGAAGTGGGAAAACACTTGGAGAAAGTCAACCTAAAAGAGTTTCAAGAGAAGACGAAGATGAAGTGATCATTGTGGAACCTCCAAAAGTTGTAGTTCCTCCAAAGGAACCGGTTGTGCCAAATGTTGATCAACCCGATCCTTCCAACAAACCCATCAAACCATTAGTCATACCACCACCTTTTCCATCCCGGTTGGCTTCCTCAAAGAAACAAGAAGAAGAGAAAGAGTTTCTTGAGACCTTCCGCAAGGTTCAACTCAACATTTCACTATTGGATGCCATTAAGCAAATCCCACGTTACGCCAAATTTCTTAAGGATTTGTGCACCAACAAGAGAAAATTCAAGACAAATGAGAAGATTCAAGTCAATGCAAATGTATCCGCGGTCATCCAAAAGAAGCTTCCACCCAAATGCAAAGACCCGAGAATGTTTGCTATACCTTATACCATTGGTGATTTACATGTTGAAAGTGCCATGCTAGATCTTGGAGCCTCAATCAATGTTATGCCATACTCGGTTTTTCAATCTCTCAATGTTGGACCTTTGGAAGAAACCGGAGTCATCATTCAATTAGCGGACAAGTCAAGTATATTTCCAAGAGGCGTGTTGGAGGATGTACTAGTTCAAGTCAATCAACTAGTATTTCCCACGGATTTCTATGTCATTGACCTTGAAGAAAAGACTCCTTCCAAGTCATCTATGATTCTCCTTGGAAGACCCTTCATGAATACCGCTCACACGATTATTGATGTCCACAATGGGAAGATCACCATGGAGTTTGATGGAGAGACCATTCACTTCAACATCTTTGAAGCAATGAGATATCCTAGCAACATATCTCCATTGTATCGAGTTGATGTGATTGAGCCAATCACCCAACAATTATTCGAGTTATCAAATGGGGATCTTTTGAAGATGGTGCTTAACATGAGTCTTGAAGGTGAAAGTTTGAAGAATACCTTGGATTTGTATACATTGGATTCCGAAGTTGAAGATATTGTGAAGGCTCTAGAAATTACTAATTCCACAAAGAAGGATGTTTCTCAAGTTGCCTTATCTCATTCTCCAATCAAGATGCCACCTTCCATAATCCAACCACCCACACTTGAATTGAAAGTCTTACCTAGCCATTTGAAATATGCTTATCTAGGTCAAGATGAGACTCTACCGGTGATTATCTCTTCTCAATTGAAAGACTTTGAAGAAAACCAATTGATTGAAGTCTTGAAAGAGCATAAAGAGGCCATGGGGTGGACCATAGCGGACATCAAGGGGATAAGTCCTAATGTATGCACTCACAAGATACTCATGGAAGATGATTGCAAGCCTAGGAGGGAAGCCCAAAGACGATTAAACCCTCCCATGATGGAAGTTGTCAAGAAGGAGATAATCAAGTTACTTGATGCGGATATGATTTACCCAATTTCCGACTCCAAATGGGTTAGTCCGGTGCAAGTGGTTCCCAAGAAAACGGGAATCACGGTTGTTGAGAATAACAAAGGCGTAATGGTACCCACTCGAGTTCAAAATGGATGGAGGGTGTGCATTGATTATAGAAAGTTGAATTCAAGCACACGGAAAGATCACTTCCCTCTTCCTTTCATTGATCAAATGCTCGAGCGATTGGCGGGCAAATCACATTATTGTTGCCTTGATGGATACTCGGGTTTTCACCAAATACCCGTTTCCCCCGAAGATCAAGACAAAACGACTTTTACATGCCCCTTTGGCACATTTGCCTACAAGCGGATGCCATTTGGATTATGCAATGCCCCCGCCACATTCCAAAGATGCATGGTGAGTATCTTCTCCGAGTATGTTGAAAATATAATCGAAGTGTTCATGGATGATTTCACCGTGTATGGCAATTCGTTTGATGAATGCTTGGGTAACCTTAAGAAGATTTTGAAAAGGTGCATTGAGAAAAAGTTGGTGTTAAACTTTGAGAAATGTCACTTCATGGTCAATCAAGGAATCATTTTGGGACACATCGTCTCCAAAAAGGGCATCGAAGTTGATAAAGCCAAAATTGATGTCATCCAAACCCTTCCTTACCCAACATGTGTTAGAGAAGTGAGATCTTTCTTGGGCCATGCGGGATTCTATAGAAGATTCATCAAAGATTTCTCAAAGATCACGCGACCAATGTGCCTCCTTCAAAAAGATGTCGATTTTGACTTCAATGTTGCATGCCAAGAAGCCTTTGACAAACTTAAAGACTTGCTCACTTCCGCCCCAATAATCCAACCTCCAAATTGGGAGCTTCCATTTGAAATAATGTGTGATGCAAGCAATTTTGCTATTGGAGCGGTCTTAGGTCAAAAAGAGGGCAAAGCATCACATGTCATCTACTATGCCTCCAAAACCTTGGATAATGCTCAAGCCAATTACTCCACCACCGAGAAGGAACTTCTAGCCATTGTATTCGCCTTGGAGAAATTCCGGCAATACCTTCTTGGGACAAAAGTAATTGTGTATTCCGACCATGCCGCATTGAAGTATCTCATGACCAAGAAAGATGCCAAGCCACGGTTGATTCGTTGGATTCTTCTTTTACAAGAATTCGATCTTGAGATAAAGGATAAAAGTGGTGCCGAAAACCTAGTTGCGGATCACTTAAGTCGGTTGAATATTGGTGATTCTTCTTCTCCTATCCTTGATGAATTCCCGGATGAACACCTCTTCTATATGTCAAATTCCATTCCATGGTACGCCGATATTGTGAATTACTTGGTTACTAAAGAAATTCCTCATGCATTTACCAAGTACCAAAAGGCCAAATTGAAGAGTGATTCCAAATACTACGTGTGGGATGACCCTTATCTTTGGAAACATTGTCCGGATCAACTCATACGGAGGTGTGTTCATCAAAATGAGGTTGAGTCAATTTTGAAGTTTTGCCATGAGTATGCATGCGGAGGACATTTTGGTCAAAACAAAACCATGCGAAAGGTGCTCGAATGCGGACTCTATTGGCCAACAATGTCAAGAGATACCTATCTATTTTGCAAGAGTTGTGATAGATGTCAAAGAACGGGAACCGTATCCATGAGGCATGAGATGATTCAAAGCCCTATCCTTATTTGTGAAATCTTTGATGTGTGGGGAATCGACTTCATGGGCCCCTTCCCCGTTTCTTTTGGTTATACTTATATACTCTTGGCGGTTGATTACGTCTCAAAGTGGGTGGAAGCAAAGGCAACAAGGCATGATGATTCTAAAACGGTAATTGACTTCTTGAAGTCCAACATTTTCGCAAGATATGGTGTACCAAGAGCTTTGGTGAGTGATAGGGGCACTCATTTTTGCAATAAAATGATGGAAGCAATGACAAAGAGATATGGTGTCACACACCGGATATCAACCGCTTACCATCCACAAACAAATGGCCAAGCCGAAGTGTCAAATAGAGAAGTCAAACAAATTCTTGAAAAGACCGTCAACACTACCCGAAAAGATTGGAGCTTGAAGTTAGAAGATGCTTTATGGGCGTATCGGACCGCCTACAAAACTCCAATTGGTATGTCTCCATTCCGCCTTGTCTATGGAAAGTCTTGTCATTTACCGGTGGAATTGGAACACAAGGCATACTGGGCGGTTAAAAAGTGCAATTTCAATCTTGAAGAAAGTGGAAAGCACCGAAAAATGCAACTTCAAGAAATCGAGGATTGAGAAACGAGTCTTATGAAAATGCAAGCATCTACAAAGATAAAACAAAAGCGTTTCATGACAAACATATCACTCGTAAGCATTTTATCCCAGGCCAAAAAGTTCTTCTTTATCATTCACGCTTAAAGCTATTTCCGGGAAAATTGCGATCTCGATGGCACGGACCTTTTATTGTTATAAAAGTGTTTGATCACGGTGCGGTTGAAATTAAGAGTTTGGAAACAAATCAAATTTTCAAAGTGAATGGACACCGCTTGAAACCATTTTATGAAGGCTTTGATACGGGAGAATTCGACAACGTAACATTGGAAATCCCAAATTACGAAGGTTGATGGAAGCGGGACTATGTCTTGGCAAAGACGTTAAATAAATGCAATGTGAATAAATAATGTCCGTTTGAAGTTTTGGGTGTTTCTAAGTTTGAAGTTGGTCTAAAAATAAGCATATAGAAGTCTTCCAGTGATTTTGGTGAAGTTTGAAAAATTCCAAAAATTTGACTTTTGCGCGGGTACCCGCGCAACCTTTGCGCGGCCGGCCCCAGCCGCGCAAGTTCCGAGTTCCAAATTGCACCAACATGGGATGCATTCTGTGACTTGCGCGCGGCCAAAATCCTCCCGCGTAGATATTTGCGCGGCTTTGAAGAAATTTCACTTTCAAGCTGCGCAACCTCCCCCCCTTATAACCCCACACCCGCTCCAGCCCCGCATCCGACCCGCTTCCGACCCGACAACCCGACCCATCCCTCCTTATACCCCCTTAACCCGTCGGACCCTTCTTTCCCCCCTTTTTTCCTCCCGTCAATGAACACTCACCGCTGCTCCCTTCGCCGACGATTCCGACTGTCGCCACCTTCAGCCTCCACCGACGATTCCATCGTCCGCCGCCAACGCCATCGGTCAGCGCCTCCGTCGGCAGCCCGTTCTCGACCAAACCTCTCGTCGCCGGAAAAACGCGCCTCGCCGCTGTCACCTGCTCCTGCTCCCTTCGTCGGCGCTCTACCCCCGCTCTACTCCCCACCTAATTTCGACCAAACCCCACCCATCTATTCGCCGGTAAACCGCTCGACGCCCCCATTCCCACCCTCGCCGGAAAATCATGAAACGTCCATTCCGCCTCCACATTCCATCAAAACTCGAAAATTCTTGGGGCATTCTTTACCAAACGCTCCACCACACACCGATCTACTATTAATTTGGGAAAATCTCATCGCCGGAAAACCGAGCTTCGCCGCCGGCCGCCGTCTGTCGCCGCCGCCGGCCGCCGTCACCAATTTTGACCAAAAATTTAAAAATTTTTGTTTCTCGCCGGAGTTTCAAAAGATTCAACCTTGTGGGTCAAATTCAAGCTTGGGGTGCGGTTTTAGCGGATTTCTTTTCGGGTTTCGACACTCGAAATTGGTACATTTCTTTTAATTTCATTGCATTCAAATTCTCATTCCATAGGCTTATGCTATGCATTAGGTTGATTAGAAATAGACTTAGTTTGCTTTGAATTAATTGAATTGCATTTGATTTTTCCCAAATTGCAAGTTTGGAATATTGCCCGATTTTAATTATTTGATTTGATTGGATTGGTGTGAGGCGAGTGTGAGGGATAATTTTGCCCAAGTTTTTGTCTTTGCTAGGTTTATTCACCGGTACAATGGCACGGGACAAGACCATTCACGCATCTCATGGTTCATCTCGTGAAGCTCAATCCTCGGGGCCATCCAGAAAATGTCCACCGACCATGTTGATCGTGATGGGAACCTTACCCTCACGAGTGCCCAAAGCCGAGAGTTCAAATCCAACCTTCAAAAGCGTGCAATCCGCGCCACAAAATTTTACCACCAAGATTCTATGGAGCACCTCGGCCTTGACAACCACTTGAGACAACTATTTTTCAACATTGGTTGGCACGAGTTTCTCGCTCTTTCTGCACGCACCTACAAACAACCCACACTCGACTTCCTCTCCACCTATGCCCGCAATGACACGGCGAGGGTACTCACTTTCAAACTCCAGGGTCGGCAGCACCGACTCAAGTACAAAACCCTCAACAAGATCATGGGCACATATGACATCAACAACTCCGATATTTACAGCTACCAATGGACTCAATTTAAAAGCTTGCCCAAAGTAGACTTTTGGACCCAAATCACGAGCCTTTCCAAGTTCAATCCCAGTCGCCAAAAAGACCCCTTTATCATCCATCCTTGCTGGAGAATTGCCCACCGGATCCTATCCACTTCTATCTTTGCTCGTCACGAGCCGGGACAAATCAACACCGTTGAGTTATATTTTCTCTACTGCATGTCGAGCCGACGTTGGTCTTTACCCGATTTCGCCACCTTCTTTTTAGACAAATGTGACAGCCTCAGGACGAAGACCACTGGTGACATTTGTATTGGAGGTCTCATTACCCTCATTGGTTTGGGTATGGGCCTTCAATTTCCAGAATCTGAATATGTGCCAGTGGATGATCCACCTCTCTACCTTCTTGATTGCATAACTCTCACCCGGATGGAATTAATGCTACCTCATCCTACTCTTCCTGGACATTTCTCTTGGCTCAACCATGTCAAGGACCCAGTTTACATCTTGCCCAATCCAAGTATCTCCGCCTTCACCACCAATGACCCCGAAACATGGTTCTTGCCTCAAGAGTTGCCAGATGATGATGCTGCAACAGCGGATGATGACATGTAGGTGGACCCTGACAATGCTGATAGCCCATTTGAGGCTGAAGACCATTATGATCTCCCGATCCGCCAGTTGCCACCACCTTATCCATGTCAAGCCTCCGGGTCACACTCTCAGCCCTCGGGAGAACACTTCCAGCCACAACATGATTATCACTCATACCAGAAACACAATGAGCCCGACCCCGCACACGAGTTTCCTCTCGATATTTACAGTCAGCTTGCTTCCTTGCGCCTCCAGGGCAACAGGAACACCGCAACCATCCACCGCATTGAGGAACAACAAGCACGCACCAACACTTACATGGAGGACCTTTGGTATCATTTTCAGCCCGAGGGCGGTTATCCCCCTCGAGGGCCTCCTCCACCTTGATCCCGGTATGATCCTTCCTTACTCTCATCCTAAGCATTGAGGACAATGCTTAATTTTAAGCTTGGGGTGAGGTATTTCTTATCTTTTATTTTTATTGCATTTAGGTTGTATATAGTTCATTTAGAGTAAGTCATTTAGGTCATTCATAAAAATTGCAAAAAAAAAAAAAAAAAAAAAATTCAAAAATATTGTATATTTTCTTTCTTTCTTTTCTAATTTTCATACTTTTTAGATGCATTTTAGTTTAAGTTCATGCATTTTTGTTCTCTCTTGTCTTCTCATCCCTACAGGTACCATAGCGTCGAGTCATAAGTATTGAATCATAGATTGGTCCCGGGTCTTGATATGGAATTCCTTGTATTAGATAAATGGGACACGTTTTGAGCCTCACGGACCATTTTAAGACCGCTTGTGTGGGGGTCAGATGCAGGTAGCTTGATTGGGTCTAGGTGCAGAGGGATGTGGTTGGTCAAGCCAATGTGTGCGAGCAAAGATTAGCCTGGTAAGGTATTTTGAAGACATTGAAGATATTGAAGACTCGCATCTTGGTTTTAGAGGGAGTACCCTTTAGTACTCCCGAGTCTCGTCCGAGCCTTACTTAGTTAGATTCTCACCACCTTTTTAGGATAAGTTATCATTTTTCTAGGGGTCTAGAGTAGATAGTTAGATAGATTTTGTTTATCACACCTTGCATTGAGGTGCTTGATGAACTTTGAAGTGGGTCCCCCAATTCACAATTTTTGGGGCCAAGTCTTTTCGGTAACACCCATTTTTGAGTCATTCCCCGCCCTTTTTAGTTGATCTTGGCACATTGTCAATGATCATTTGGCGTTCATGTTAGCCTCCATCATTTGTTACATGGTGAAATTCCTTAGACCTTCCAAAAAAAATGAAGAAATTAGAAAAATGAAGAAAAAGAGAAACACAAAAAGAAGAATAAGAATCCAAGTTCAAGGCTTTAGTTTCAAAAAAAAAAAAAAAAGATTTTGAAGATTCAAAAAGGCTGAATATCAAGCAACAAAGAAGCTGAAGACCAAATAACAAAAGTTCAAGATCGAAGACTTAGGTTGTTAGGTTTAGATTTAGGTTAAGTAGAATTTTTATTATTTATTATTTTATTTTTATTTTTGATTTTTTGGTGAGAAAAGGCCCCGACGATGAGACGGTAGACTGTAAAGGATAGTACAAGGGAGAAGCCTCTGAAACCGGATGTTTGCCTGGAGGCCGCGCTGTAAAACCCTATTTCGTACTATACACTTTAGCCTGACAAATGTAGGAATCATAGTGTGTGAAGAGGCGCTTTTCCTTTGTGCACTATGGTCAGCATTGGTGATTTAAAGTTCCCCCACTGGGAGCATCCTCTGTTTCCTTTGTCTTGCACACCGCGACTACATCCAGCCGTGATCTATTCGCCCATCAAGTGGTTGAGAATGTGGTTTATGGCTCTAAAGCGGGGAACATTTTGAAGATGCGTAGGGTCCATGAAGGACTAATCCTGACCATGTTGACTGATGTTGACCAAGTTTTATGGTACCTTTCTTTTTCCTTTTTAGATAGTTCATCCCGAGCTCATTTTTAGTCTTGTTCTAACTTGAGGACAAGTTAGGTTTAAGCTTGGGGTAATTTGATAGCTTATTTTATTTCCTTATTTTATTAGTTTATTTTAGATTTTTAGATCTTTTTATCATTATTGCATTGTATTTTATTTATTTTTTTCTTTAGTATGGATCGTACCGGGTGCTTTTTATGTTGCATGAGATATTTTGTAGGTTTTCGGTGCTTGTTGCGGTTGCGGGTTGATTGGAGACGGGCTGAGTGGGCTCCCGAAGCATTATTGGGCTTGGCGGAATCAAAGAAGAAGAATTGGGCTTTGAAAGTTATTGGCTTGGATTATTTGGGCTTGTGAAGACGGATCATAAATTTCTAATTTTGGGCTTGGAGCATCCATTTGGTGGCTAAATGATGATTGGTGGATTCAAATTACATGGACAAGGGGGGGGGGACCAAAGGAATCTTTGGTAGTGGAAGGGTGGTGTGGTGGAATGGTGGACCAATGGCATTCCAGCAGCATTTTGCGCGGGTGGAATTTTGGCTGCGCGGGTACCCGCGCAACTACCCAGTTTGGGCATTTTGGTCATTTGGCTTGCCATTACCTTGGGGAATCAGATCTAGAGGCTCATCTTTTCAAGTCTTAGGTAGATTCTTGATGCAAATTAATTATTGTTCTTGTTACTTTGTTGCCATGAGTGGCTAATACTCTTATTTGGTTGACTTTGGCTGAAAACCAATGAATGTTTGTGGGTTTTGAAGGATTTATGTTGATTATCAATTTATTTCATGTTTATGATTCTAGTTTACAATTCTTATGCTTATTTGATGCTTTGATCATGAGCTTAGTATTTGATTGAGCAATGGTTGATTTGTTTCATTGATTTTACATTGGATCATTGAATTTATCTAGAACAAAGGTTTTATGATGGTAGAAATCATCTCTAGCTTATGAATCATAGCTCCTTTATGGATGTGTAAGCATTTGACATCCTCTAGGAATTGGGGATTCCTTCATTCTTAAGGCTAATTGATTTCTTGGGATTAACTGCTTCAATTGACCCTTGATCTTAATTAAGAAGGTGTGTTGTGGGCTTCCCCAACCTCCATACTACCTATGAGGAATCTTGGCATATCATGCTTCATGATTGCTATAACCAATTTGGGATGAAGGATAAGCTTTGTATTAGATCCTAATGATAAACACACAAATGTTCATTGTGTTGAATTGCCTTAGTTAACCAATTATTCCCAACCTTTGAGCATCTCATCAACTTGCTTAATTGCAAGGTTTTTAGTTATTCAAGTATTTTAGTTTTCAAGTAATCAAACACCCCCCCTTTTAGTTTAATTGTAGTTAGTTAGTTTAATTTCACTAGTTCTATTGAATTGCATTGGTGATTGAATACAACCATTTCCCCGAGGATCGATACCCCTTTTTACCATTATATTACGTTTATTTAGCAATCAAAGGGTGTAATTAGCTTGGTGGACTTGACATCCCACCATGTCACGTTATAAAGAAGAAAATAAGATGCTTTGAACGTCGTTGTGGGGGATGATGTTTGTCCATGAACACGCCGTCATAAGGCCAAAGAAAGAAGCAGATCATAGAAGAAGAAGACATGTTACAAGCTTTTCTTATGGTAACGAGGGATAACATAATGTTGGCCGGGGGCGGTGTTCATCTAGTTACCACGACGTTATCTACATTCCAGCTCGGCAATAACGGGGCAAAATGGCTCCATACATTTTTGTTTGAACTCATCTATTATTTATTTTTTTAGAATTTATATATTTTTTAAACATTATAATATCATATTTATTCAATTTAATTTCTAAATATCAAATTATTTTTTCTAAATTTTTAGAATATATGGAATTTACCTAATTTTTTTTAATATTTTACAATCATTTTATAATACTTTATAATTATTAAAATTATTAAGAATAATGCCCTTATTTTTAATCTTTGTAACCTTCCTCCCATTTCTAATCATTATAATTATAACTAGAAGTGTAATCGAGTCGAGCAAACTTGAGAGATACTCGAGACAGACTCGAAAAAATACTCGAGATCGACTTGGTTGAAGACGAGTAGAGCACGGGCCCGAGCTACTCAAGTATATTATCGAGTTGAGCTTGAACACTGGAATGCTCAGCTCATGAAACTCTCGAGCTTAATTAATCTTAGTTATACTTATATTTTTATCCTTATGTTTATTCATATTTTACATATTCGATCCGAACCAACTTGAGCTCATGAGCTTAATTGTACTTCTATTGAATTTTAATGTAATTTTAAATTTTTAATAACCAATCGAGTCGATTTGAGCCGCATTCAAGAGTGTCGATTACTTTATTGAGCTCAAACCCGAGCTTGAAGTTAAGGCTCCAGTTTTTTAGTCGAATCGAGTTTCGAACCAGGAAATATTCGGCTTGAGTTAACTTAATTACACCCGTAATTATTAGCCATCTCCTCCACCATATGTATTCTCGAGGGTCAACTATATTGTTATTTATTTAACAACTTTGAGCTAAAACTACATCTATAAGATTTCTACACCAAGGTTGAAACTTTTTACCAAAACAGGGTGCACAAGGGGAACAAGATGTTGGATCCAAAGCCTTGAGTGAAACACCGCCACCTCAATGTTCTTCCTTTTACTCCAAAAGCTCAAAATGGAACTAAAAATGGATCTACAAGCTTCACAATGCACTAACACTCTTTAGGGTTTCTAAATGAGGAAGGAGGTTGAAGATAAGAAGGTGCATGTGGCCATAAATGTGTTTAAATAGAGTCCAAACCCTAAAATTTAGGGTTTGCACCCTGGCTGCATACGCCCTGCGTACTAGCGTATGTGTAGCATACTACTGTGAACCCGAGTACGCCCAACGTATGAAGGTGTACGCCCCGGGTACTCTTCTGCCTCCAAAATTACGAAATTGCCACAGGGGACTAGACTTGCAAATAAAGCAAAACTCAAGGGTTTAAACGAATACATGAATAGTTAGATGTTACATGGGAGATCTTGGCCATGTTGTGTACGCCAGTTACTTTCATGTTGCTTATTGCTATTTTCTTGACTCTGTGATCGCTTGTCTTGGGCCCCAACATACCGTGGTGACCATCTAGACTTAAAGGCTTTCACAGTTTTCTTTGTTTTCAATTGTGTTTAGTTTCTGTTTTTTCTTGATTGCTTGTTAATATGACTGGTCCTGTGATTGAAACCTACAGTGGGTCCAAATTTGATCTTGTTGCACACTTTGATGATCCTTTATATGTTCATCCATCTGATAATATTGTTACTAGTGTCATTAGTTTCAAGTTGTTAGGAACTGAAATCTATAAGATATGGTGCAGTTATATGGTTAGAGACTTAAAAGCTCATAATAAACTTGGTTTTACTGATGGAACTGTTCCTAGACCTACTAATGATCCTATTAAAGAG